ACCTTAACTCCACTATAGATAACTAAATACTTCTAATACTAATACTAATACTTCAATCATAAGCTATATGATATTTTCTTGTCTGATACTTATTTTGAATATAGTCAATCCATTTTCTCCATTCCGATACATATCTTTCTTGTGTATAGTCCTTCAAGTACGCTGAGATTTTCGCCATTTCTGCTAGGTTCGTTACTTTCAGTATCCACTCTTCAATAGTAGGCAAAGAATCCTTCTTCCAATATTGCGCTACCAACAGCCTAGCTGCTGATACTAGATTCAAAATCAATTTAGTCTCTACTACTGTACAGTCCATAGTTATACCCAGTAGGAACAGTTGAGGGATAAATTTCAACCTTCTTTTCAAAATATTCTGCATCACCCACCAAATTTTTATCCAAAATGCCTTGATTTTCTTACAGGTCCACCATATATGATAATAGGTTGCATCATTACATTCACATCTCCAACATTTAGCTTGCAAATTAGGGTACATACATGATAATTTTTTAGGATCTAAGTGCCATCTATAAAACATTTTATAAAAATTCTCTCTCAGATTTTGTGCTTGCATAAATTTAACATTTCTGACCCAAATCTTTTCCCACGTTTCCATCATCACTGGTTCCTGAAAGTTTTGTGCCCATTTTATCATACAATCTTTAACCAATTCTGTTTCTGAATCTATTTCCAATAATGCATTATACAACCTTTTAATATGCATCTGGCTTTGATCTCTAATCTGTTTCACCAGATTTTCCTCATTTTGCATAACACCAAATTTTTGATCTTCCCTCCATCTAGCTTGAAGCTGACCATACTGAAACCAAGTATAAATTATCCCTTCTTCTTTTAATTCATCTACAGATTTCAATTGCATCTTACCCCTTTCCAAAAGAAGAAGCTCTTTATAAGTAATCACCTCTGTTTTTTGCTCTATACTTATATTTTCTATTGCATGTCTGGGGTTTGCCCATATGGGTATCTTATAGTTCAGCTTGTATTGGTCCAAACCCTCAGCAACGCATTTCTGAGTATATGACCCTTAAACACTTTATCCACTTTTTTTTCATATAACAAATAAGCATGCCATCCATATAACAAATCATAACCTTCTATGTTTAACATTCTTTCTTCAGTTAAGTTAAACCAATCACTAATTTGCGATAAAGCTGCTGCTTTATAATACAATCTTAAATTAGGCATTTTAAGACCTCGTCTCTCACGTATATCCTGTATAATTTTCAGTTTCACTCCCAGCCCAAATGAAAGTATTAACCCATTTCTGCCATTCCATGAGATTTCCATCTTTTTAAAGCACTGGTATCATTTGGAACAAAAATAAAAACCTAGGTAGTACATTCATTTTTATTGCTGCTATCCTTCCCAGTAGTGATAATTGTAACTTTTTCCAATTTTCCATTTCTTTCTGTACTTTTTGCCAAAGAATTTCATAATTATTTTTAAACAATTTTGTGTTTGAGGCTGCAATATATACTCCTAGATACTTGACCTTTTTAATTACTTCAAACCCCGTTATTCTCCCTAAATCGTCTCTTTGAGTTATGGACATATTTTTAGTTAGCATCTTTGTCTTGTGAAGATTTACTTTAAATCCAGATACTTTGCCATATTGAGCTACTATGTCCAACATATAGGGAGCCGCTTCTATAGGTTGAGATAAAGTAAGAACCAGGTCATCTGCAAACGCTCTTAATCTATAATCCTGCTGTCTAATTACAATTCCTTTTATTTTATCAGAATCACGTAACTTATTCAACAAAACTTCTAAAGTTAAAATAAACAACAATGGCGACAAGGGACAGCCCTGCCTCGTACCTTTCTCAATTTTAAACACATCTGTTAAACCTCCATTAATTATTATTTGTAATGTTTGTTCCTGATATATTGCTCCAATTGAATGTATGAAATACTCCCCAAAGTGCATTTTTTTTATTATTTTAAACAGGAATTGCCAGTCCAATCGATCAAATGCTTTCTCTGCATCCAAGAATATGAACGCTGTAGGGCCCTGGTTATTTTTTTCCAAATATTCCAATAAGTTTATAATTTGTCTAACATTATATTTCATCTGCCTCCCTTTTATAAAACCTGATTGGTCATTGTGAATAACTTGTTGCATAACTGGCATTAATCTATTCGCTAATATCTTAGCAAAAATTTTATAATCCGTGTTCAAAAGTGAAATTGGCCTAAAGTTTTCAGGTTTGATACAGTTTTGATCTTTCTTCAGAATCAGTGAAACAAAAGCTGTTCTCCAAGAGGGTGGAACCCCTCCCACTAATTGAATTTTACAAAATAGAGCTCTAAGCGGCTCTACCATTTTAAGCTGTAAATTCTTATAATAAACAGCTGTTAATCCATCTGTTTCTGGAGCTTTCCCTGTTTTTAACTGCTTAATTGCCGCAACGATCTCCTCAGAAGTTATTGGTTGATTCAATCCTTCCCTCTGTTCCAATGTTAATTCCAAAATATTCCCTTACTTTAAATATCTATCTATGTCTATACCTTGTATTGAGTCACTAGCATATAACTTTGTATAAAATTCCAATAAAGCCTTTTTAATCATATTCTGTTGGTAAACTTCCTTACCTCTATATTCTATCTTACTAATGACTCGTGATTTCTGTTTTTTCCTCAACATGTAGGCCAACCACCTACCTGGTTTATTGGAATTACAAAATGTATTATGTTTAGCATATTGTAAGCTAGTTGCCACCTGATCAGCCATTAACATATTAAATTGCCCTCGTAGTATATTTATTGTTTCTTTTACTTTCTTATCTCCTGGATTAGATATAAGTAATTGTTCTTTCTTTTTTATTACTTCCTCTATCTCTTTACGCTTCTTTTGTTGTTTTAGTTTATATTTATTGTTCATATATATTAAGATACCCCTCATATAAGCCTTGCTAGCATCCCAGACCATTTCCATAGGAGTACCCTTATTCATATTAATAACAAAAAATTCTTTCATTTGTTTTTTAAGCTCTTTTACATTTTCTTCATATCTAAATAAATTTTCATTTAACTTCCAAGACCTCCTTTCTCCTCTCTCCTGTTCAAATTCCACCCAAACCGGACTATGATCTGTTAAAGTTCTTGGACATATCTTCGTCTTCTTCACCCTGGAAATAAAATCATTTGTGGTTAGTATAAAATCAATCCTGGAGAAGGATTGATGTCTATCAGAAAAAAAAGTAAAATCTTTTTCCTCCAGGTTACGTTCTCTCCAGATATCTCTCAGTTCCTTATTCAGTTCTTGACTGCATTGTATCTAAGTACAGCCCTTGCTGTTTCTTTCCTGGTTATAAGGGCAAGCATCCAATTAGAGTCTCTTTCAGATGATGCCTCATATATTAAATGAATTCATTCCATTTTTCATTGTATTGAACTTTCCCATTGAACTGTATTGAACTGATGCTTTTTTTTCTTTCTTTCATGTTCCCAATATAACTATCTTTGCATCTTTGGAATTTCTTTCACTGCACGGCAACTGTGGCAATTAAATATTTATAATCCTTTAATCTAGTTGCCTCATAAGCATTAAGTAGTCCGCAAGATATACACTCTTTCTCCATATTATGTTCATTAACTGACTCAAAGTGCCCATTATCTATCATTATTTTCTCAATTACTTTATCTTATCTATGTGACTTTCCATTGCATTCTCTAAGTATGAAGTTATTGCTTTGTCCTTGTTACTAAATGATAATCTACCTTCTGTATTTTACACTACTGTTCCCTGATATACGTAGGTACCTCTTTGTTTAACTGGGCAGCTGAGATGACATTCATAACTTTTGTTGATTTTGGTAGGATAATCTAATCCTATATACTCCCAGGATTCTTTGTTCATTCATTCGAGAAACACTGGAGTCCTGCACCAGTGGTAGGATACTACTGGTTCTGTGGGTATGGTGGGCATGGCATGGCTTGGTCGGCGTGGCAGGGGAAGGATACAGTAAAATCTCCATTCCCACCCCACTGCAGGGGAAGGTTACTGCAAAATCCCCATTTCCTCCCAATCAGCTGGGATTCGGGAGGCAGAGAATAGATGGGAGAGGGGCCAGTCAGAGGTGATATTTACTGGTTCTCCGAACTACTCAAAATTTCTGCTTCTGGTTCTCCAGAACTGGTCAGAACCTGCTGAATACCACCTCTGTCCTGCACCCCACCATCACAATGAGGCAGCAGAACAGGACTGAGATGGGGGGATAGTCGGGATCTAAAATTAAACTTTTAGAGAAGTTCACAGCATGTTAGCAGTCTTCTAGACATTTTAGACTATAGCTCTTTTAATCTCTGGCTATTAGCTCTGATGGTTGGAATAGACATTCATAACACAAAGCTTCAAGAAGGCAGATGGTTGCATGTTCTCCTCTCATTTATATCTCTTTTCTTTAATTCACAACTATATTGACATAAGTGTTTCTACCATTTTGGAAATGCACTGGCATCAGGAATTAAATTAGAGGTGATAATGTGCTTGAAAAAGTGAGTGGTTGGAGCATTCCCATGCCTAGCAGGATTTAGAGTTTTGGAAGCAGCCTTATGCAATGCTTCTCTTCCTGAATGGGTTTCCCAATTCTCTGCTTTTCTGCTTTTGGTGTTTACAGAAGGAAGATCTTTAAAAGTAACTGTTGGTAATGAGGCTGCTAAACTCCTATGGAGAACTGTTATGGAACTTATTCAATTCTTACCTAGAATATTTTACACAGTTCTTTATTATTCTGTTTTGTATTTTTAAAAAACCCTCAACAACAATATCTTCATTAATCCAACTTGATACTCTATTACTGTCCAGGTTTATGCTTTCCGAAATAAGAGATGCCTCCTACAGAGGGGCGGAGAAGGAAGCCTTGCAAGACTAAATCTGGAGCAATAGAAGGTTAGTGGCAGTGTGGGTGGTTGATAGAAGTGTATATAAAATTAGCTGCAACATTTAACAGAATCACTTCAACTTTCCACAGGGTAAAAAAATAACATGTTAGTGGAACAGTAACTCTCAGTTTTTCCAGCCAGGATGCCCCCTCAGTCAGAGGCCAGTGCAGGAAAGCCAGAGATTGAGCCAGGGGTCCCACGGCTCTTCACCTGGGAGGAGGTGGGGCTCCGCACAGGCAAGGGAGACTTGAAGGAAGAGAGATGGCTGGTCATTGACCGAAAGGTTTATGATGTTAGTCAGTTCTATTTGCGGCATCCAGGTGGGCCTCGTCTCATCAGACACTATTCTGGACAAGATGCCACGGTGAGTCCTTGCTAAGGGGAAAGACGGCCTTGGAATGACCTGAAGGCTGCCATAAAACACTGGCTTTGTATGCACACACTCCTAGATGAGGCCATATCTTTCTCCAAGGGTCTCAAATAGCAGAATGGGGGGGAGGAATCTTTCTTGTCTGAAGCTGTAGGGAATTCTGACATTACAGAACAGTCATTCTGGGTTGGACGGTCCAATGCTGTAACACAATGCAAGAAAGCTCCAGGTGGTGGTTGTATCGCTTGCCAATTTTGTAGTATTGAGTAGCAAAATTTGACCAAAATTTAAAAGCGTCATTGGAAAAAGTTCAGGGAAGGGGCCAGGCAGCTAATGTACAGATGTACAAATTGATGTGATTTGCAGCCTTTCTTTTTTCCAGTTTTGAGTCAATGTTTGACTGCAGTTAAGTTGCTTAACTTTATTGACTTCTAGACAATGTGAACAAAATACAGCTTAGGTTTGAGGACCTGATCAGAAAGTGTTTGTGCAAAAGCATGGACACAGTTTATATTTTGCCTAAGCAAAATTCAGTCTGGCAGACTTTCTCAGTGAAAAATATATGAGTAATATTAGTAGCATAGAAGTGAGGACTGAATTCTAGTTAAGTTTAGAATCTGTAGACTCTATTGTATATTTCATAATACAATACTTTATAGACCCAGAATCTGATTAACATTTTGATTAAATGTTTAAATGCACACACACATGTATATACATACACACATACGTGTATATATAAGCCTATGTCATTATTGCTTCAGTGTATGAAGAAAATATAAATATAAGCTAAATGAAAAATTATCAGAACAGAGGTGGACTTTTTCTATTTACCTGTTGTAATGTGCATATACAAGGATCAGTAGTTGAGGCTCAGAAATGTCTTCTGTGTTCCTGCGTATCTATCAGGACTTTTAATCTTGGAAATATCTGCAGCAGGTGAAAAAGGATTTCTATAGACATTCTATCACTTCTAGACATATCTGATATATTCTGCCCTCAGATTAACCTCTCACTGAAGGCTCTCTTTAAATTACACCATCTATTATGGGACATTCAGGCATTGATGGCATACTTGAGACCAAGTCTAGCACTGATATTATTGAAACATCTACATTGCCATTAAATCATAATGCTTTTGGCTATATGAAAAAGAATTACACTGAATGGAAGAATCCATATGCAGACACTCTAAGAATGTGAATATCTTCTGGGAATTCATGTGCATAGGAGATGGCAATGGGAAGGAAAGGGAATGGGAAAGGAAAGGAGAAACTGGGATGAGGGGTCCTTGAAGCAGGTTAGATAATCATGATGGGTTACAATCCCACTGTCTTTGTTAAGGCCTTCTGACGTAGTCTGATATTTCTTGCTATTTGTAGGTTCAGCTGTCTCATATTTTGTTCTGCTGGTGAAGGTTTTTTGTGGTCTATTTCAATATAAACTGAGCATTTGATGGTATATTCTAGATGGAAACTGGAAGCATGTTGGTATGCATGATGATTTATAAGCTTCCTTGTGTTTATGTGTCCATCATGTGTCTATTATCAGAAAAGTGGACTTGTTTGATACATCTGGGCTTAGGTTGATAATGGGATTGAAGTATTGGAAGTGTTGAAGTCTAATGGAATTTAATATAGGGACTTTCATGGGTACGGATGATGAAAATGTCATCAGTAAATTTCATATAAATTCAGGAGTTAAGATTTGAGAACATTTGAAATCTTCCACGCATTGCCATATTGCAGAACCATATATGTACACATAACTGTGCCATTCATGTGCAGTTATATCTGTTGCCAGTGTAAAAATAGTGATGGATGAATTCAAAGTCATGAATTTCTCCTTATTTCTAGGTTGAGTCTCTCCTTGACTAATTTCCATCCATTATTCCTTGTCTGGCCTTCAGGTGCTTGGAAAATAGGTTAACCTACTTCTCTCTGTGACAGCCCCTCAAATATTGGAACACTGCTATCATGTCTCCCCTGTTCTTCTCTTCACTAGTTTAGCCATGGCCAAATCCTGTAATTGTTCTTCATATGTTTTAGCCTCCAGTCCCCTAATCATCTTGGTTGCTCTTCTCTGCACTCTTTCTAGAGTCTCAACATCTTTTTTATAGTGTGGTGACCAAAACTGGATGCATTATTCTAGGTGTGGTCTTACTCAGTGGTAGGATTCAAATTTTTTTACTACCAGTTCTGTGGGCCTGGCTTGATGGGTGTGCTTGGTGGTCATGTGACTGGGTGGGCATATCGAACTCAATGTCACTCATGTCAAGGAGTGCTTCACCTTGCCTGGCCTTTTGTGACCATGGGGATGCTGCAATGGTTGTAAGTGTGAAAAACAGTCATAAGTCACTTTTTTCAGTGCCATTGTAACTTTGAATGGTCACTAAATGAACTGTTGTAAGTCAAGGATTACCTTACAAAAATACAAAAAACTTCTTTGCTTGCAGAAAGCTGCCTGAAATACCGATGATTAGATTAGAAATACCTGCAAGCCGGAGTTACAAATCAGGCAGGGTGCCAGAGCACCTTGAGAAATTAAAATAGTTAAAATACAATGATAACTATCAACAACCAACTCTTGCTCATAAAGTGAAACCCTTTAGCAGAGAGGCCAGAAAGAGCACACCTAGGAGAAGCAATCCTTAGATCCATTTGCACCACTTAAAGATACCTGCTGGTCTCACTCACCTCATAAAATATCCTAAGGAAATCATCCAGATTTAAGGAAAGATCACATGCCCCCCCCCAGAAAGGCAGTAAAAAAATCAGTGCCAAGCTTGCATCCTGCCTCTTGGAAGTAAACCAAAAAGGACAGTGCCAAGGAAGACCCCCCTCTCCAGATAGAAAAAGCACCTGAGATAAGCCTAACTACAAATAAAGCAATTAACACTAGAATGAAAATTATCCCATCAATAAACACAGGATTAAACATCACCAAGCACAGAATTAAACTTCACCAAAAACCAGTTTTAGACCAAAAGTCAGAAAGAGTATGTAAACTCACGTTTGAATGTCAATCTTTCTAGTTAGCCAAGAAGCCTTACTAAATGTCACTCATCTTGTTTCCTTGTCATTAAAAGCATCTTTCTGGCAGCTCTGCTTCGTTATTCAATTATTTCTTCAAAGTACTGATCATTGTAGTCTGGCTGGAAGAACTCCAACAGAGGAGTATTTCCTCCCAACAGCAGTGTAAAAAGTTTAAAACAACCCTTCCCCTTTAAGAAAGTCAAGCAAAGTACCAGGAAAAAAAAAGAAAAAAAAAAGAAAAAAAAAGTACCCGCAAAGAAAAAAAAACCCAGAGAAGCTCAGGCAACAATAAATCTGGGTGTACTGACAAGAATGTAATAAGGGTTAACGGAGAGGCAGTTTTTGTAAGCAGGGCAATAAAGATTAAGCTAGAAACAACACCAAAATGTTGTAATTCCTTACAGGATTAACCCTGTAAAGTGGGAAAAAAACAAAAGGAGATTTCTTCTAACAACTGGTTCTCTGAACTGCTTAGAAAAATAACTACCGGTTCTAGCAAATATGTGTGTACCGGTAGAATCCCACTTCTGGTCTTACTAAGGCTTTATAGAGGGGTATTAGTACTTCATGTGATCTTGATTGAATCCCCCTGTTATTGTAATTTAGGATTGCATTGGCATACTATAGGCTCATATTTAATTGGTTATCAACCAATTGTCTTATTCCAAGACCAATCTTGTCTTACTCCAAGATCCCTCTCACAACTACTGCTATTAAGCCTGGTTCCTCCCAATTTTTATATGTGTACTTTTGGTTTTTCTTGCCTAAGGGTAAGAGTTTATTTTTTTCTACATTGAATTTCATTTTGTTAGTTAGGGCCCAGTGTTCAAGTCTGTCAAGATCCATCTGGATCTTGAGCCTATCTTCTAGGATGTTGGCTATTCCTGCTAGATTAGTATCATCTGCAAATTTTATAAGTTCCACTTCTATTCCCTCATCTAAATTGTTTATGAAGATATTGAAGAGTACTGGGCCTAAGATGGAATCTTGTGGTACCCCACTGCTTACTTCCCTCCATATAGACCTAGTACCATTAAGGACTACTCGTTGAGTATGGTTTGTCAGCCAGCGACATCCACCTGATGGTGATGCTATCTATCCCACCTTTTTCTAGCTTACCAAAAAGTAGGTTGTGGGCTACCTTGTTGAATGCCCTGCTGAAGTCTAAATATACTATGTCCGCAACATTTTTCTGGTCTACTAATTTAGTCACTATATCAAAGAATGAAATAAGATTGGTTTGGCATGGTCTGTTTTTAACAAACCTGTGCTGACATCTAGTTATTACTTTACTTGTTTCTAGATGTTGGCAGATCTGTTTTTTTTAATTATAATTATCTTTTTCAGTATCTTCCCAGGTATTGATGTTAGGCTGATTGGTCTGTAGTTCCCTGGGTCCCGTTTTCCTGCTCCCTTTTTTTTGAAGATGGGAACCACATCAGCTCTTTTCCAGTCCTCTGGTAGTTCGCCAGTGCTCCAGGATTTTTGAAAGATATGGTACAGTGGTTCTGAGATGATATCTGCCAACTCCTTTAGCACTCTGGGATGTAATCCATCAGGTCTGGTGATTTATATTCATCAAGATTAGACAGGTGTTCTCTTACCAATTTTTTTTTTGGCTTATTTTAACTTTTATTTCTAGTCTGTCTTTTACAGTTGTGTTTTTGGTAGGCTGGGCTATAGTTTCTTTTTGCGTGAAGACCAATGCAAAGAATGAATTAAGCAGCTCTGTTTTCTCTCTGCTGCCTGTTATATTTTTGCTACCTTCTCTCTTAGTGGACCAACTGTTTCTTTGATTTTTTTTCTCGTTATTTATATGTTGTATATATATCTATCTTGTTATTTTTTATTATTAGGAAGTATGTAGTCTCTCTTGCATAGTGGGATGGGAGCACTGGTAGCATAAGGTTCCTGAAACATAGTCTTCTAGATGTAATGTTTCCAATGTTTGAAAGATGG